AATAAAAGTAAATTAGGTAATCAACCCTCACTGGTCTCGGTCTCGAATTGGACTCGACCGTCTCTGGTCTCGGACTTGACTCTCTATGAACTCGGTCTTGACTCGGACTCGACTCTCTCTGGTCTTGGTGTCGACTCGGACTCGACCGTCTCTGGTCTCGGACTCGACTCGGACTCGACACTCTATGGACTCGGTCTTGACTCGGACTCGACTCTCTCTGGTCTCGGTGTCGACTCGGACTCGAGTGAGGTGGTCTCGACTACAACACTGCTAGTTTCGATATTCACAGTCCGCCGAGCGGAAGAAGCGTCTACCGGAAGTGTTGGCATAACCACGCGAGTCGAACATGAGTACCTTACGTCGGCGATCCAAAGTGTGGCTTCGCTTTTCTAAAAATAACGAAATCTCGGCAAAATGCAAAATTTGTGACAAAAGGAGTATTTCCTTCAGAAAGACCGTTGGTTAGCAAGGTTAGCTAAACTTTTTTGACCCTGCCTCTTAAAAGAATCGGAATCGAGAATCGTTAGGAACCGGAATCGAAACAAGGAATCGGAATTGGAATCAGAATCGTTCAAATTCAAACGATACCCAACCCTAGTAAAAAATGATATTATCTAAATTAAAAAATATTAAGAGGGGGAGGGAGTCAAATGTTAATTTCCAACAAGATCCTTTTGTTTCATCTCTTCAACCAGTTTCCAGTTTCAAGTATTCATCCATCATGGTAGCATTTACTGTACTCATTACCCCACAAACAAAATATTTTAAGTATTGTTAAATGTTTATATGAAAGAAAAATCCCGGTCACCTCTGACCACATCAGTGACGAGACAGTTGGGGTCAATGCTGCCGATCTGTTTGGGATGAGCGGGATTGTCACGCACCTTTCCCCCAAACAGAAGAGCTGAAAACACACAGACATCATCATGTTATTGACATATTGACATAAAAGGGTGGCGATCAATGAATGAGATTCAGAAATGTGGGGCACTGATGGCTGTGAAACTCGTAAACATGCCAGTCGGTGCTGCTAATCCAAACTACACTACTACATTCCCGAAGCCCATTCAACTGACTTCACATTTCTGCTGTCCATAATGGGCCCTATTATGAACTACAGCACTAGAAGTGTGTGTGTGTCTCACTGTGCTGGTTCAGGAGCATTCTGATTGAAATCCTGCTCATGTAGAAGCGGTCCAGGAAGTACTGCATGTTCTGGCTGGTAATTGGGTCGGTGCCGTAGGTCTCTTTGTACTCCACCACTCCTTGAGCCATGGTGGGAACTACATCATTGTGGCGGTTTCTGATCTTAATCACAGTCTCTGTAAAGCTAAAACAACAGAGGTGTGTGTTTATGTGTGTAACAGTGTGTTAGCACAAGCAGAGCTAAAAGGTAGAGGTCTTCACAGGTCCAAACCTTTTGTATAAAAAATTCATTTTTAAGTCATTTTAAATAAATATATTGTGTGTAGTTCCCCCTTTGGGAATAAATAATGTTTATACTCTAATATAAATGTGCTTTTACTGACAAATTCCCCCTGTAGTCAACCATTTTACATTTTATTTATTTCATTTTGGGCATTTAACAATATTTTACGACTTAAAACAAATGCATATCGATAATTCTGTAACATTATTATTATTATCCTCACTTCTCTATAAATCCGTGCTTCTATGTAAATAATCAATCCCTTCTTGACATTGGTCCAACTGAAAAAGTCACCACTCATCTTTATTTTTGGGTCGGGTTGAACTGTAGCTTTACTTTATGCATTTACTTTATGCATGTGGGGTTTGGGTGTGAAATGATTGGGGTCAGGAACAGATCTTAGGACCAGAGACAACCTCCACTGCAGGGTATTTGATCAAATCTCTTACTCATGTGTGACTGCTTGATCATCCATACTCCTGTCCTTGAACTCAAGTATATCCTGGAAACTTTGCATGTACCTGCAGAGATGCAACACAACCAAAGAAAATGTAGCTCAGATAGGCAAACATATCCCAATATTAGCACTACATGCATGCATTCCCACTGACCAGCTCTGCACCAGGTGCACTGAAGGAGTCCTCAGCAGGTTATCAGGCAACAAATCGATTTCCTTTAAAATATTTGCCAGCCTGACAGGCAGCTCCTGCCTTAGAAACGTGAATGACGTTTTCTCACACGCGTTCTCTGAACCTGAAGAGAAAAATGTGTACAGAAGACTATGGGAACATCATCATCATCATTATTTGGTGATTTCACCATTTAATTGATAAAGTTGGGACTGAGTACAGGATTCCCAGAGTTATGAGTGCTTGGGGTCCAATAAACTACACAAGGGGCCCAGAAAACCCCAGATATAAAGCTATATAGATATGATAATCAAACAATAACATAGTATATGTAAAATTACTGTAATACCATCATCACATGACACTTTCCCCAACTAACATTCTATTCTAATCTACTTAAAATTACAAAAATTGAACAGGGATATTCAAACTTTTACTACTCAAACTTAAACTACTCCACTTCAGGATTGGATCGTGTTAGATACTGTTCTATTCACATATTTAATTGTATCCACCTGAGTCCAGACTTACCAAAATCTATGAACTGTTTCATAGAGAGAGGAGAAGGCGAGAATCTGGAGTAAAAGTCGATTTGCTTGGACATAGATGCAGTCTTCATCAAGGTCCTGAAGATTCTCATTTTGAAGTATTTTGTTGTTAGCTTCAGTTCTTCAGAAAATGTAGAAAAACATGTCCTGTTGGCTTTCTGAACTCATATTTTCTTGTCCAAAGACTGTGTAGTTGTTTCTCGTGGAGTAAAGTTGAATGTCAGTCATGTACGCACATCGTTAGTTCACTAGTGATCCTGGTTTATCCAGGGCTGTCTGGAAAATGCAGTTCCACTCTGTAGAAAACACAGTCCTGTATTATTCGGTAATGGCATTGCACACATTATAGCCTATAATGATATGGCCCTACACATGTAGGTAATCCCGGAGTAACGTTAATGCTTGACGTGTGTTAAGACAGATAAGCACACCAGCACAGTGTGTGTGTGTGTGTGTGTGTGTGTGTGTGTGTGTGTGTGTGTGTGTGTGTGTGTGTGTGTGTGTGAGAAAGAGATTGAGCTCATATACGCAGGAGCATCAGCGCACACTGGGCCTCTGACCGCATTAATAGCCAGAACACATGCTAAACAACACCGGCTGAACTCCGAGGACAACAAACCCTGAAAAAAGCCGTAATCTCTGACCTGTTTTCTTGATTGTCTATTTGTTTTGCAAGGTTGCTGTAAACACGTTGACATAGATGTTTCGTTTACGCATAGAGCGTCCACTCTGTTTACTTCCGCATTGTGGAAGTCGCCGAATCACGTCACGTGACTGTCTGCGTCGTTCCGTTATTATCACACGTACATCTGCAAAATGTCATTTCATCTGGAGAGCATCTGCTAACATCTGATAGATGTCTTTTAGATGTCAGTTTTAGATTCATTTTAAATCATAAACATAGGCTATTAAAGTGTAAACCCTAAACCAACTTTTTTTTAGTTAATTATAATAATAATAATACATGATTTATTTTGTATAGCGCCTTTAAAAGTTGCTTTCTCAAAGCGCTTTACAGACAAACATAGCAACAGAAAAGAAAATCTATAGAGAAGCTATAAAGAAAAGCACTTTAAACAAAAAAAATAAGCAAGTAAAATAAATAATCAGTTGGTAGGGCCTATATGTTTCTTAGACCTAACTCTCCACTCATTCTCCTTTGTTCTTGGCAATTCTTCATTTGCCCCCTCACGTATAGCAGGTTCAAAATTATACTGCTGCGGCCCGCGGGCCATCATGCATGTTGGCTCCTCTTGCCAACTCTCTCCTCATCCCAGTCAGTCGCCATATTTCTAACATAGGCGCCTTTCCTCCGCTTCTGCCCAACGTGATGTCATCACCGGATTGCGTAAAAAAAAAACCCGTCACTACCAGAAATGTGTAAAACTGGTTTTAAGACCATGTTTGAGACATTTTAAAAATGACATATCTTGAGTTATGTACCCATTAATCAACAGTGGTGGTTAACCTGCAACATGGCCTTTAATATATTAAAATATAGTGCAAATGCTCAAAATAATACATTTAATACATTTAAATCTATATCTTTTCTCTTAGGGATATTGAAGACACTCGTAATGAACACAAATAAAGTGCACTTTAATATCACAAATCATATGATTAGTCCCTACACAGGCATTTACTTAAAGTATGGTAAGTATTAAAAGAAGTGTTGTTTTTAGTGAAGGGGACTAAATATAAAGTGGTCCCTATATTTTAGGAAAAGCAAAATATGTGCATTTGGTGTTTATTTTTACTTTAAGGTAAAGAGAAAAGACATTTTGAAAAGAAACATCCAAAGAAAAAAATAACACCAAAAATTAGAATAATTCATAAATATGTTTTATTAACACACTGTATGATTTTGCTTAATGCTGTCATAAAATTGATGAAAAAAATACATACAATGCATATTAAATTTAATTTTTGAAATTTTGAATCTAAAATAAAGTGTTATCAGTTCAGTTTGTGCGTGTTGAAACCAGCCATGGTTGTCCACTGGTATATCCATGCAGAAATCTGTCTAGTGTTATAAACAGCTTCCTCTGCAGTTTTTAAGTGCTGTGTGTATCAGTTTGTTTGAAGTATTTTATCTATTTATTTTTTTTTTTGGAGAACTAACATCAAGTGATTTTTAAATCTTATGTGACTAAAATATGTGACTGTATTCGTCAGGTGTTTCATATTGATAAGATTTGATAAGAAATGAACTACCTCTTCAAACGACCTGAAGACAGTTACAGGAGAGAGCAGAGCCAAACACTTGCAGAATCTCATGACAAGATCAAACTGTTGCTTTAAGATGTTTTTAACTTCTCTAGTCCATGCAACTTTATGAGGCACTTGTGAAAATAACACTATCAGATCTTGTGGACGTGGAGCTCAATCTGGTGAAGCTCAGATGATGTGAAGTAATCAGTAAAACACATCAAAACTGTTCAAGATGATTTGACTGATTGTAGAGTTTCTCATGAATTTACTACAGAGCAGCTTCATATCAGCGCGTCTGTCATTTAATTACTGTTTTGTAGAGTTTGTCTTCATATTTGTGGACTGAAGATGTTTCACCCTGTTTTGTTCTGTTTGTGTTTCTGGCGTCTGGTTGGTGAGTTTCAATGTTTTTATGACTTTAGTTGTTTCTGTTCTGGTACCATGTAATGAATTACTGGTTCATTTCATCAGAGAGGATCAACATTCACTGTTATTCTCATCTAGGAATAATTGATCTGTGATTTTACTATGAGTTCAAGTTTGAATTCAGCTCTAAACTCACTTATGTATTAAGTAAATAATTTAAATATAAAGCCCAGATGCTCAACAGCATTAGTTTTAGTGTGACATTAAACATTAAAGTAAAAGTGTATTTTTTAGTTAGGCCTATTGTTCCATATAAATCTATTTCTCTTTTCATTCATCATTTCATCTGCAGAATATCCCAGGTGAAAATAAAGTTTACTTGAGTGCACTAAAAAAACCCACTTAAATCCAAGAAAGTACATTTGTTGTACATTCTTACTTTTTGTGCTAAAAAAAAACTCTGTAAAAATTATACACTATAAATACACTAATTAAAATAATATTTTTACTTAAGTAGTATTTTTAGTGCATAGAAATAAGAGTATTTGAAAAATACACAGAAGAGTTTTATTAATGTATTTATAACAAGTACATTTTTAAAGGGTTAAAAATAGTTCATTGTTAGTGTACTTTTAGATAGCTATCATAAGTTTAAATTAAAATGATTTTACTTAAAATATATTCAAAATGTAATAGTCAAAAATTACATTTTCCAAAAATGTGCTCAGAAAATGCTACTGATAACAGTAATAGTGTAAAATACTTTTAACACATAGGCTATTTAATTATGTTTAAAACAGTCCTGTTGACATAGTTATATATATTTGAAATAAATTATTTACTATATATTATGAATTGTATATATTATATTTTAAATAATATATTTATTTAAATCAATTTATTTAAAATGCATTAAAGATGGTTTCAATTGTACTAAACAGGTAAAATAAAAACATTTAAGCTGAAATAGTATGTTAAAAGCATATTTTAGTTAATCTTCAGTGTGTTTAAGTTAAGTAAATTAAAGTTTATCTTAAGAAGTACTAAAGAAAATTAGTGTGCGAAAATGGAGCACTTTAAGTACATTATGGATGTATACTTTAATAAAATGTATTTTAGTGCAGTTTAGGAATTCATTTAAAGTATAATTTGTATATATTTATTGTATATGAATATATTTTACATAATTTATTATTGCATTTAAAATGTATTAAAGTTGGTTTCAGTTTTACTAAAAGTGGTAACAAAATACATTTTTTGAAGTTGAAATAGTATATTTAAAATACACTTTAGTTCATCTTCAGTGTGTCTCAAAATAGCACAGTTGAGTACACTAAGATGATCTTAAGTTTACCTTAAGCAGTACTAAAGATAAGCTTTAATATATTAAGGACAAAATGAGTGCGCGAAAATAGAGCACTCTACATTATGAAAGTGTAATAAGTGCACTTAAAATGTGTATTAGTGAACTTTTTTTCACCCGGGATTATTAATTTCTCATTTAAATGAATAAAAGTATTTTAGTGAAGCTTCATGAAACCAATTCAAAGCTGTGAAATATCTGTTCTTCAGGTGTGTTTGGTTCTTCAGCATATGAAAAATATGAAGAATATGAAGGATATGAAATATTCCCAGCGCCAACGCCAGTGCCAGTGCCAACGCCAGTGCCAGTGCCAGTGTTAGTGTCAGTGTCAGTGATAGAGGGAGATTCAGTCTCTCTAAACTCTGATCTTACTGAAATAAAGGATGATGATGTGATTCAGTGGAGGTTTGGAAACACTGTAATAGCTGACATCAATAAACGGGCCGACAGAAACACTGTACATGATGATGTTCTTGATGGGAGATTCAGAGACCGACTGAAGCTGGACAATCAAACTGGATCTCTGACCATCACACACACCACAACTGAACATGATGGAGATTATCAACTAAAGATCAACCGTAAGATCAAGATATTCAGTCTCTTTGTCATTGGTGAGTTAAATTTCAGGGTTTTTTTGTATATTTTAATCAACACAAAGATTCAATAATTCAAACACCATTTTGCTTTTGGTGTTTAATGATGATATTCATTTACATTTTAAATTTCAAACTCTTTCTTTTAATCCATCAAGTGACCGTCTTATTCTGTGGCCAACCCTCTCTCTCTCTCTCCCTCTGTGTGTGTGTGTGTGTGTGGTGATTCAGTCCTGGTGTCAGTGATGGAGGGAGATTCAGCAACTCTAAACTCGAATCTTACTGAAATGAAGGATGATGATGTGATTCAATGGAAGTTTGGAAATAAAAAAACTCTGATAGCGGAAATTAATAAACGGGCCAACAGCATCACTCTATATGATGTTCTTGATGGGAGATTCGGAGACCGACTGAAGCTGGACACACAAACTGGATCTCTGACCATCACACACACCACAACTGAACAGACTGGACGTTTTCACCAACAGATCAACAGTGTGATCAAGAGTTTCTGTCTCGCTGTCATTGGTGAGTTCAAAAACGTTTACCCCTGTTTTTTTTAATGACAAAATTCAAATTAATTCATATACCATTTTGTTTTTGTTATTTTATATCATTTATTTTTAATTTTGAACTATTCAATTTAGTAACCCTGCTAAAGTTATTTAACAGTATTCATCTGTTTGTGTTTGTTCTCTGTGTGTTTGACAGTTGACGTGGAGTTAGTGTCGGTGATGGCGGGAGATTCAGTCTCTCTAAAGTCGAATCTTACTGAAATGAAGGGTTATGATGTGATTCGGTGGGGGTTTGGATTGGGAAACACTGTACTAGTTGACGTCAATAAATGGTTTGACAGAATCACTGTGTGTGATGATGTTCTTGATGGGAGATTCAGAGACCGACTGAAGCTGGACAATCAAACTGGATCTCTGACCATCACAAACACCACAACTGAACATGATGGAGATTATCAACTACTGATGTATGCAGAAGGGAGATTTTTCACATCAAAAATATTCAGAGTTTCTGTCTATGGTGAGTAGAGATCATTTGTCCTGTCTATCAGATGTTCTTATTTTATTAAGTATTTACATATTGAATTGTTGAATCATTTTATAGTTTGAGATGACAGACTGTTATAAAAACTCACTTACACAAAACCATACGGAGGCGTATTGCATTCACTTGAAGAAAAAAAATCTACTCTGTTTTTCTGAATTAACGAGTTAATTTTTCATGAGAAAAAAAAATTTGCTCTGTTTTTCTGAATTAATGAGTTAATTTTTCATGAGAAAAAATGTTTTGCTGTTTTTCTGAATTAACGAGTTAATTTTTCATGAGAAAATTTTTTTGCTCTGTTTTTCTGAATTAATTTTTCATGAGAAAAAAAAAATTGCTGTTTTTCTGAATTAACGGGTTAATTTTTCATGAGAAATTTTTTTTTGCTCTGTTTTTCTGAATTAATGAGTTAATTTTTCATGAGAAAATTTTTTTTGCTCTGTTTTTCTGAATTAATGAGTTAATTTTTAATGGAATTTTTTTTTTTGCTCTGTTTTTCTGAATTAATGAGTTAATTTAGAAAAACAGCAAAAATAAATTTTCTCATGAAAAATTAACTCATTAATTCAGAAAAACAGAGCAAAAACTTTTTTTCTCATGAAAAATTAACTCATTAATTCAGAAAAACAGAGCAAAAATTTTTTTCTCATGAAAAATTAACTCGTTAATTCAGAAAAACAGAGCAATTTTTTTCTCATGAAAAATTAACTCGTTAATTCAGAAAAACAGAGTAGATTTTTTTTCTTCAAGTGAATGCAATACGCCTCCGTAGAACCAAGTAAAAGATTGTTGATTAGATTTCTGTTTATTCAGACATACTAGTTGATGTTAGTGTTTATTGACTCAGTTTGATGTGTTTATTCCTCAGACCACTGGTGTGGTCCTACTGAAGCTGTGATCCGATTGGTTCTCTCTGCTCTGGTGGGCGTGGCTACTGTCGTCATTCTGGTTTATCACATCAGATCCAGAAGAGCTGAACAAGATCAAGCACATATTCCCGCATCAGGTACAGGATTCATTAAGTCATGATTTAGCAAATATCTGTGAGATTTATTAAATTTGTTGATTTATATGTTCATCTTTTTCAGGTATTGAAACCTAAAGCAGAAAACTGAACTTTGAAGGTTTTTCAAGTGTGTTTTTTGTTTCTCTAGTGTTTTTGTCATAAATAATATTGATGATTATTTCAGCTTCTGTATACTTTCAGTGTCAGATTTTTAAAATATATTTTGTGTAAGGCTTTGTTTACATTTCTTTCCGATACAAAAAAAAATGAAGAAAGAGACTCACAGATCTCACTTTACTGTAACTGCTATATATTTCTTAGATGTATTTGCTTGCCTTTATCAATAAAGTTATATATCATTGTATGCAAACTTTTTGTATATTTTTAATACTTCAGCAGTGTACCATAGCTGTATACTTTTTCACAGGTGCTTCCTCTTATATATTTAAAATATATTAGGCTTTTTAATATTAGACTACCAATTAGTTTGTTTTTGATTTAAACAACATATACAGTTAAAACATAATATTATTCGTTTTTAAATTGTTAACCAGGGGCGTTTCTAGGTTTTAATAAAATCAGGGGCTGAACCCAAAACATCAGGGGCTGGGGTGGGTAATAAGATAACACGATTCGATACAGAGAGAGAATAATGTATATTGCAGGCCTATATGCAGGGGGCATCCCTGCCACTGTAACCACACCAGCCCACATTACCACACAGTCAAGCACATGCAAAATTGAGGTAGTTAGGGGGGTTTTGGGGGGTCATACTACCCCAAGACCTACATGTGTGCATTTTAAAGGGGTCATGAACTGGCTTTTTTAATTATATTATATTGTTGTCTGAGGTCAACTTATGACGTTCGCTTGGTTTTTGCATTCAAAAACATCCAAATGAATAAGTAATAGGCTATATTGTGTCCAAGTTTTTAGCCTACCTGAAAAACGCTGGATTTTTATGGGCATCTCGCACTGAAGACTTGGAAGTAAACGCCCACTGCTGTGAGTGGAGAACAGTTTTGCATATTATAATGAGTCCCGTCGATGCACTTGGGGATGTCTTGGCGCTCATTGAAATAGAACAATCATGCCGAAAAGTTGCTGTGTCGTTTTCTGTACCACCAATAAACAAACAAATTATAAATTGAAGTTCTACATCCTTTCTTACATACATACAGAACCGAATAGGAGGACAAAATGGCAAAATTAATCATATCTTATTAGATTACTGTGTGAGTAGAGGTCCCTGTGTGATATAGTAGTAGATGTTTAACTCGTATTAGGCCAGATTTGCCAGTTACATCCCTTACGAAAAAGAACTATAGTAATCCTATGGCTGTTAGTATTCTATTGTAGTGTATACTTATAGTATTATATAATAGTATTCCTATAGGATTAACGTTACTATAATATTTTGTCCTAAAATACTACAAGATTCCTTTAGTTGTTTTTCATAAGGGATGTCTCAGTCACATTAGCGTTATTAGCTGAAGGTTATCAGACTGCAGTCTGTGGGAATTTGGATAACTGTCAGCAAAGTCCCTCTGCAACTTCGTAGCTACTACTGATCACAGTTTTACAAAAGGATTAATAGTTTGGAGTGAAGCATACAATTGGGTTTTATGGACTTATAGTAACTTAGGCTATACGCAAGTTGATTGAGTTAGTTGCCGGTAGCTTCCGCGATGTCTTACCTGGAGATTCAACCAGATAATAATAGTCTGGAAACGACACCTCCGGCCATTTGGTTGGGTCATTGACCCAGTTTTTAATTAAATAAGGGCAATCATAACCTATTACAGTTCATAATGTACCATTGCCGGTCGGCAGGCATAAATGACACGCAATATGACATTTTTGTCATTCAAATACATTGGTCGCACACAGACCACGGCCCCCAACTTTGCGGACTGTATGTAATGTATCCACTTTGTCATCAAAGTTCCCCACTTTTTAAAATGAGTCGTTTGCTGGGGCAGGTGTCAATAAAAGCTTTATTGGACTAATGGGCTATATGCACGCATAAGTTCCGCATTTGACGTAAGGATGCTCGTCCATTTCCGGTTGTATAGATTAAA